CTTTGTTTTTAAAAAACTTTGAACATTCGATTGTAGAATTTGAATTCTATTCGAAGCCATTTTATTTATTGTGTAAATGCTTGGTTAGTTAGATTTAATACCACTGTGTTAGCGAGATTGAAATGCTTTTTCGTGCACATATTGAACATGTTTTTCACGTCGTCTCGTTGGCCCAACATTCCAACGAAATCAGAATAAAAGCTCATCATAGCTGCTTGGTGCGTTCTGTTCGAAATTTTGTGAGCTTCTTGCATCATAGCTTCCCAGCGTTCTGTTTCTGTTACCTTCAAAGGATTTTGCAGTGCAGCTCCTGATACACTACCATTCTGTGTATTCTTGATTAACTCATTCCTCTGTTCCGTGTTTCTATTTGCATTGTTTGATGTCACCAGTCTGGGTTTCTTTCCTTGTTTTTCTTTCTCCTCCTTCCGAATTTGTACTGCAGCCTGAATAGCCTTTCTCTCCTGGTTCGTTTTGATCCACTGCTCTCGTAGGGGATCTTTCCAAGTGTAATTACCTTTCACCATCGTCGAAAAGTTTTCCTCAATGGTTGGAAACTCGTCCAGGTTCATAAGTGGTTCGTAAAGATTTTGGGTAGCAGTGGGGACCTGTTCTCTGGCCTCCGTGTAAGTCAGGTTTTTCTTGGTCATGAACTTTTTAATTTTCAGCTGGCGTTTCTGTTCGGGACATGTTGCATCCGTTGAGTCGTGATCCGAGCTACGGCAATGAACACATTTGCGTTGGTTTTGGCAATTTGTGAACTCTTCATTCTGTTCGTGGCTTTGACTGCATCTATCACATCGTCTGTTTCCCCTACAGTTGTCAGTACGATGTCCGTATCTTAGGCAGTTTCTGCAAATAATTGGCGTAAAGGCATTCACGCGGCTGACGCAGCAGAACATTTTTACCATTGTTGGTAACTCTTGCGCTCGGAATATGATGCACAGCCGGTTGATTGGAATCCTGTTTTGGCCATCCCATCGTGACATTCTGGTGACTTCCAAAATTGGAACCTTGCAGTGGATATCCGACTTGATTTCGTCAATATTTATGTCCGTTGGAACTCCCGGAATCACCTCGGTGATGGACACAAGGTGTCTGGGAACATATGCACGATAGATGGTACTTCCACTGTTGATTTCATCGACTAGAGAATTCGCTTTGGTGTAGCTGCTGATGAATACGATGATTTTGTGCAGTCCTACGTACTTCATGTCAGTAATGAATTGTTTGTAGACATCCATTCTGCGAAGTGCAGCCCCAAGTGAGAACTTGTTTATCTTTTGCCCTTCCTTTCTGTTCCGTAGCTCAAAATAGAAGCGATATGGTCCGGTATCCATGCTGGTGTAGGTGATATTTTGCTGTACTCTTCCTGATGTCGCAGATCCTGTTCCTGATGTTGTCGGTTCATCTCTTCCTGTCATGGCATTAGTTCCTGCTTCCTTCCGCTTGGGGTCTTCTGCTCCTTTCTCCCGATCAGGGGGATCTTTTTTCTCCATCATCACTCCGACTTTCACCTCTCTTCTTCTTTTTTACACTTTTTTTTTCCACACGTGTATATTCAAGGAGAATATAAAAATGGCGTCCTTCCGCCGATCAACAATTTGTTTCGCTTAGATTTCTACTGTTATTCACTTATTTCTTTCTTTTGCTACGATTAATTTTTTCTTCGATACACCTTTTTCTTTAAAACACCACGATTTCTACAATAAACCACCGAACAAGCACAATTTTTCAATTTGAAAACGCTCTCCGAAAAAGAACAACACCTTCACCTATGAAATTGAATCATCCAATGAAAGTGGGAAACGCTGCGCCCTTATGAACAGTGAGACTTCGAAAACAAAAATAAACATCTGGCAGTTCAGGCGGGAAATCCAACTACAGTAGGCATCAACTAGTTGGAACCATTTTTGTGATAACTTTTTCGCAACTATTTCGAACTGTTGTTTATATCACTATATTCCACTGTATTTATATTGGTCAAAAAGCAAAGAAAATGATATCGATATATATTAACAAACTATTGATTAAAGGTTTGAAAAATGAAGTGTGAGAATATTTTGGTGTGACAAAATTATTAAGGGAGCTTCTTCTTCTTAATTCTTTTCATTAGCCTCGGAATCTGATGTTCCGCAATTTAATTTAATTGCGGCTTCCACACCTGGGTCTCAAATTCGATCGTATTATCCAGTTAGCCATGTAGTTACCCAATTACAGCGTATTGAAAACATCCTTCAGGACTAAATAGTATGAGTACGACATCCGAAGCAGCTGTAAAATGTAAAATGCCAGCTTCTCATTCCTGTATTTAAAATTATATTCACTTACCCCTCCAAACTTGTCGATCCCGACGAGGAAAAACTTGATTGCCGTCGTCCCCGAGGCACGCTGCGAACGCTGTATCATCAAGCAATAGTATCGCTGTAGTTCTGCGGAATCTTCGTACCACGGTAGCTCGTAGATGGCTCGACCTACATTCGCCGCTTCAACGGTCAGCTCCGAACCCAGAAACGAATAAGCGTAGGTTTCGATCAACGACACAACGAACGGAATTGCCACATTGACAAGACTCATGTTGATATCCTGTAACGCAGGCCATTATTAGGTATCATCGTTCCAAACTGCATTAAGTGACCTTTCAACTTACAATTGAGACGTAGAACATGACCAAGCACCAGTACAGGAGACATGTAAGAAACTGCGTCGCCAAGGGAATGTTGATCATATTCTCCAGAAGATCTGTTATCCTGATTAAACCTCACTTACTTTTAGCTATACACGTTATTTCAAAACTACTCAAATTTGGGTAGAATCCACCCAGATCGGTCAAAACTTAACCTACCCAAAAATGGGTAAACTGTGTTGGGAGTGGCAAGTTGACAAATGAACAACGTCGAACGGATTGATATTAATGTTGTTGATTTGTTAACTTGTCACTCCCAACATAGTTTACCCATTTTTGGGTAGGTTCAGTTTTGACCAATCTGGGTGGATTCAACCCAAATTTGGGTAGTTTTGAAATAGCGTGTAGGTACACGGAATTGATTTGAAAAACTCACTCGAATGCTTTGCAGTGTAGCGCAACGATTTCCTTGATGTCGGCCGCCGTGGGCTTGGGTTTTTCCTGTTGAATATCTCTGGAATCGGTTAACTTTCCCACCTGCATCGCAACCAATCGATAGGCCAAAGAGCTGCATCTCAACCCACTGACGACCGCAGTTACCTTGATCGTAGACATATACGCCCCGGTGAAGTAGGCCAACAGCGAGCACGCCATGAAGATGTGGTAATGTGTAAAATTTGTACGGATTTGCAGGCCGTAGAATCTGTCCCGGAAAGCACAAGAGAATCAATGCTAGTCAACGACGGTTCTGTGATTTCAAACGGCTTACTCTTGTTCCATGGAAAGTTCAAACTGGATGGGTTGTGATGCGTTACCATTGGTGGTGCCGAAATAACGCAGATAACTAGTGATCATTGCCGGAATGCAGTAAAACAATGATCCGTTGATGACGTAGATCGCATAAAATTTGGCAAACTTGTTGAGTTTGGAATTTTGCTCACAGACCAGATTGTAGCATGCTTTGGAATGATCGTCGTGGGTAACTATGATTGATGGTTATTGGAGATAATTTCACTGACATTCATTGAACCTATTCACACGTTTACCTGTTCTAACGATTTCGCTCATGGTGGTAATCATTCGATTGAATGATGGCAAGTGCCAGACGAGCAATGCTGCCGAAAGGTAGATATTGATCTGAAACAGTAGTTCAGACAGTCCTTTTATAATTACGTCGAACTGGTCACTGCCCATTCCGAGTACGATTTTTGGAACTATTTTGATGAACGTTCCCCATCCGAAAGCAACGAAGAATCGATAGAGTTTTCCTTGTGGCCCTACGAGTCCTGTCCATTTCATAACCCAGAGTTGAAAGGACATGACCCGTAGTTCTGGAGGTAAGCTCTGATGGAGTGATAGATCCATGCTACTGAAGCTCCGTGGGTGAACTGGTGACAGTTTGCTGTTTTCCGATAAGATTTATCAGGACGAAATATTCGCGCATCCAGAATGATGTCATGCATTATGAATAATATGCAATGGCTATGGACATTCCTGGTACAAATGGTACTGTTAAAATATGCACGAATACATTGCTTATTCAAACTAAATAAAGGCCTCGTTGTTTCCAATGTACCATTTCAGTATTTTAGCGGAGTTTAGCTGTATTGATTTAGAAATTCGCACCGGTGTTTTGCCCATTAGCGTAGTTAGTAATGGCATCATATTACCAAGCCGGAGGTGGCGGTTTCGATTCCCGGTCCCGGTATTGCGAAAATGGTACAAGCATCGAAAGCTATCAATTAATAACTGTGGAGGTGCATTTAGAACACTAAGTAAGGAGTACGCAATAAGCTAATATGCGATCCGATAAGCAATAAGCTTGAAATGAGAAAAAGATGAAGAAGTACTAAAAACTGTGGATTCACGTATTAAACCTTTTTTTTTGTATTTACTTAATACTTCTATCACTCCAACCTCGTCTGAATCTTTTACAAAAATCGACTGGAAAATCAGGGAATCAATTGTTTGTCATTGAGTCGTGTAAAAGTATCAGGGAGTGTAATGAAAGCGTACGCATTTTCGAAGTTGCATTCGTTCACGTTGCGCTTTGTGACTAACCCTATTGATTTATCCCGGTTCTCTACATGGCCAACAAGAACAACTCAGCGACTGAATTCAATTGACTCAGAGCATTTTCTTTCCATACGAAATTTATTCATATTTGGAAATCCCTGCTCATTAGTTATGTCAGGTTTTTCCACATAAGAGTAAATTTCGTATGGAAAGAAAATGCTCCGAGTCAATTGAATTCAGTCGCTGAGTTGTTCTTGTTGGCCATGTAACTGAATTCCAGGGTTTTTTTTCCCAGTTAGCTGGCCACGATGCGTCTAATATTGACTCTATTAATTCTTTCTAAATAGTTTATTATTTCGCTAAATATACAAAATCATCTTCAGTCACACTTTTACAAAAGTTTACATCCTAACAAATTCTGTAAATAAAATAGGGGTATTCACTACATAACATACATGGAAGATTACGCATTTACGGAGGGCGTGTACGTTTAGGATCCGCTGTGTGAATACCCCTTAATATAAAAATTCACTCTCTTAAATTCGATGAGCTGCTTATCTGTCAACAACGATTAGTTGTCGTAGTATCTCTTCTTCATGGCGCGATACTTCTTCAAGCTATACAGCGCTTCGATCTCCTTCTGTACGTACTCGCCCAGACTGATGGCCTTCTCGATCTTCTGCGGGTCGGTTTCCGTGCTTTGCCGTTTGAATGCGTTGTAGCACTTTTTCCGGAACATTTCCGGCCCACCGGGATAGTCGCGGCCCAGGTACTGGAGCTGAAATGAGCATCACAGTCCGTGTGGTAAAAGTGATGGTAGAAAACAGTTTCTTGTCTTACCCGCTTGTAGAGGTCTAATACCTGTTTCCGAGTGCTGGACATGGCTATTTAGAGAACTGAGAACGCAACTTGGAACCTGCAAGAGTGATTATTGTTTGCGACCGTCGATTCACAACCCACGAAATGTAATAACGAACTGAGTTACGACATAAGCTACAGCTGATTCGGCAGTTTAACAACATTGCAGCCGAGGGGTGATTCATTTCTTTCATACTCAGATGTTGATGTTCGATTTTTGTTTTCGGGAGAAAGTCCCTAAGTGGAGTAAAGATCGTACAAATGTAAAAAGAATTTCACGACCCTCTAACATTTGAATGAGGAAATTTTACAAAACTTGTGTATATTCCCGTATTTATAACAGGTTTTACAACAGTCAAGTCCTCTTAGAGTCAAGTCAATGACAACGACCTGACACCGCTCTAGGCTATCGTCAATGTCATTGAGAGAGAGAGAGAGAGAGAGAAACAAAACGAATTGATAAGACAAACACACGGCCAATGTGATCATCCCAAATTTTATTTTAGATTACTCAATCGCAAATCAGCGATGAGTAAATTTGCCTCATGTTTTCCTGTGGAAAACCTAAAAAATCTGCCGGAAAATTGACGAAAATTTTACTATGTCTAGGCGAAGTACCAATAGACTGAGTGAATCCAATAAAAATCAGAATTATCGCTGAGTTCCTGTTCTTTTTGCGATTTATGAGTAAACTAAACTCAGATTTGGGTCGATCTCATTGGCCGTGCACCTTGAACATATTGGCACATATTTTCAATTTTGATCGGATATGGGCCAAATAAAATAAACCAACAATATCAACCAATAATTGTTGCAATTCTCTTTAATGCGATTTCCAAAAAAAAAATCAAACCCAGTTTTTTCGACACATCATTCTTTTGACGTAGAGAGATTTTTAGCGTATTGGCTGATGTATCTTTTAGGCCTTATCAACCGGTGGAAACTACCGATCTTAAATTGGCTTACTACTTGACTAGCCTATTGGTCCCAAAAACATCTATAAGCGTACCGCATTATAGTTGAAATTCTAGTACTACACTATGTTTCTTCTTCTTCTTATTTCCGTGCACAATCTCGTCATAGAGGTAACTCTAAGACTAGTAGGTCCCGAAGAAACGTGCTCAACTTTTTGGCTCAGCTCTGGTACTATCTTCGGTCCCAAGCTAATCGATTCACCCCTCAAAACATACGAAAATCCTCTATAATCCCTCATTTTATCTATAAAACTTTCGTAGCTAATGAAAACAAACATTGTGTAGTACTAGAATTTCGACTAGAATGGGATACGTTAGTCGATTTGCTTGGGACCAATAGGCTAGCCAAGTAGTGAGCCAATTTAAAATCGATAGTTTCGTATTGATTGTTGATCTAGCGCCAATCACCGACGGACATCGATTGCCATCCATTGATGGAACTCGAATGTGCGGGAAGGCTGCTTCCACACCTGCGTAGGATATCGCACCCATTCAAACACACATGGGCCGGGACCAACGGCTTTACTTCCCTTCCTTCAAATAATTGTTTTGAGTGTAACTTTTTTCCGAGGGGGGCGACACATTTAAATCTCAATTCTAGATGCTCCGAAAATTTCACACTAGCGAATGAATCTTCGAAAAAACTTCTATCATTTTTCTCATCTACTTCCATCGAGCATCATCTTTTGGCAGGAAATCGTCAGAATCGTCATCAATCTTCTTTCTATCTAGTCAGCGTGTGCGCAGCTAACCACAGCAAATCAAAAACTTTCCTGCATCGCGGATAGAGTCCCCTCGCTTTTTTCGTAGATTTTCAATATATTTAACATATTCTACAAAGTTGTTTGCCGTACAAAAATACATATTTTTGCTGAACATTGTAACAAGATATCTCTTAAAATTAAAATATGTATTCAAAAATTAGACATTTGCGGGAGTTTTTTAGTTATTAAAAAACACCTAAAAGATCGCGTGCTGCCACACGTTTTTATAACTTTTCGGCAGTAAAATAAGTAAAGATTCAGAATCCTTTCTAGAATTTTGCGCCAATCAGCAAAAGCATCTGCTCCCTTACCTTTGAAAGGAAATAAGATGAGTGCCTACCTTGTTTCATCGACCGAATAGCCTCAATCGAACTGAGACTATCCGAGAAGATGAAGTAATGGTCTATGGGCATATCGGAAATCATCCCCAATGCGAAGTTGATTGCTGCTAGCTCAGCAACATAAACGGAACAAGGTTCCTGAAGTTTCCGAAAGGCGGTTGAGTATTCATTGAAGACGCCGAAGCCAGTGGATCCATCAATGCGTGATCCATCAGTGAAAAATCTTCTATTGCAATTGACTTGTTGGTACTTTTCAGCAAAAATGCGGGGAATTGAGATAGGTCGAAGTTGATCTGGAACTCCTTGAATAGCCTGTTTCATGGAGAGATCATAGTCAATGGAGGAACTGTAGTTAGTAAAGCATACACGAGAGGGGTTATAGCAAGGAAGGCTAATATCCGATGACATATAATGAAGATAGATTCGCACGAATCTAGACTGGATGCTCAATTCGAGCATTTCTTCTAAGTTTTCAATCACAAGGTTGTTACTGACACTACATTTAATCAATATTCTTAATGAGATCTCCCAGAATCGGTTCTGCAGGGGTTTTACTCCCGCTAGAACCTCTAGGCTCATATGGTGTGTTGAATGCATACAGCCAAGGGCAATACGTAAACAACGATATTGAATGCGTTCCAATTTAATTAGGTGGGTTTTTCTTGCCGAGAGGAAGCAAAAAGAGCCATACTCAAGAACTGAAAGAATAGTCGTTTTATATAGTTTAATGAGGTCTTCCGGGTGAGCACCCCACCATGTCCCGGAAATTGATCGTAGAAAGTTGATCCTTTGTTGACACTTTTGTTTCAAATACGTAATGTGGGTACCCCAAGTGCATTTTGAATCAAACCAGACTCCAAGGTATTTGAAGGTTAAAGATTGGGTAATGTCTCTGCCCAAAAGATTTAGACGCAGTTGGGCTGGAAACCGCTTCCTTGTAAACACTACCAATTCAGTTTTTTGCGGTGAAAACTCGATCCCTAAATTTCTTGCCCAGAGAGACAGATTATTAGGGAATTTTGCAATGGTCTTTGCAAGATTTCTGCACGTGGACCTCTCGTGAAAACCACGGCATCGTCTGCAAGCTGTCTAAGCGTGCATAGATTATCTAAGCAGTTATCAATATCGTTGACATAGAAATTATAAAGCAAGGGACTTAAACATGAACCTTGGGGTAAGCCCAAGTAGCTAATTCTAGAAGTTGTCAGTTGACCTAGTTTGAAGGTCATTTGTTTTTCTGACAGCAAATTATACAAGAAATTATTCAAAATACCGGGTAATCCACTACTGTGCAAATTGTCTGACAGTATGTCTATGGAAACCAAATCAAATGCGCCCTTAATATCCAAAAAGACTGAAGCCAATTGCTCCTTGTGCGCAAAGGCCAGTTGAATACCAGATGAAAGCATCGCTAGACAATCGTTTGTTCCTTTACTCTTTCGGAAACCAAATTGCGTATTTGAAAGTAGATTGTTTGATTCAACCCAATGGTCAAGTCTTAATAGGATCATTTTTTCTAATAATTTCCTCAGGCATGATAACATAGAGATCGGACGGTAAGAATTGTGATCAGACGCTGGTTTCCCAGGCTTTTGAATAGCTATTACTTTAACCTGTCTCCATGCTGGTGGAACTATATTGAATTCCATAAATGAATTATATAGGTTAAGTAATCGTCTTTTAGCGATATCGGGGAGGTTTTTAGGAAGGTCGAATTTGATCACATCGCTTCCCGGAGCAGAGTTATTCGATGAAAGAAGTGCCATTGAAAATTCCAGTATTGTGAATGGTTCATCCAGAGAACCGTTACTTCGGACTGTATCCCGTAAAGTTGGTTGTGCTGGAACAGAATCTGGACAAACCTTTTTAGCGAAGTCAAAGTTTTTCCATCCATTGGGAGGAGAAGAAACCAAAATTGTAGGATGCTTGATTACCTCTCACCCCAGCAGGCCTGGGTTCAATCCCAGTCGGCGCCGCCGGGATGTTCTGAGGCATAACATCTCTGATCACGCCTTCCTTCGGATGGGAAGTAAAGCCGTTGGTCCCCGGTTCATGAGTTGATGGGTCGATAGGTAGGGTCCAGGTGTGGGAGCTGCCTTCCTGGCACGACGGTAGCATTGGTGCTCAGCACGGAAAACAAGATCGACGGAAAAAAAACAAACCAAAGGAAAAAAAAAAAACTTTATTGAAGACGTTAAGACTCTATCTGAATCAGATAAACAAATATTTTTTTGATCTCACTTTTAAGTGGATTAATCACTAAATCGTCTACATCAAAAGAAGCGGATTAACATATGCAAAACATCTTTGATTAAACTATACTCCTAAAATCAATGTTGGAGAAGCTATTAAAAAAGCGCACGAAAACGGCAAAAAGCAACACTGTGCGTTTTCTAGGTTCCGGTGTACTAGAGAACATTCCTCTCCAGCCGCAATAAAAGAGATCCAACCATGATTGCCCCATCAATGGGATGAAATCCTTTTCACAACGTAACACCACCAATAATAGGTTCATTTCCAGACCGTTCAGCAGCGCTACCACCAACCGGTGAACACTCGTGTTTATTTCAGTTACCATGGAGACGTAATTTGTGATTAGCCCCGGTCCCTTTCAAATTGTATCATTATTTATGAACGGCCTTATATTTGAAATGACGTTTCACATTCATCTAGTGATGTCCGATTTTCATTCGAATAATCGTTTAATCGATTAACGAACCGAAAAGTAAACTATTTATAATCGGTTAGATCATGCCGATATAAGCATTAACATCTCCACAGGATCATCACCGATCGTTTCAAATATGTGCTGCACTCTCATTGGTGGAAAAATAGCAGCACAGCGAACAAAAAATAATCGATTAGTTGTTAATCGAGTAATTAAAAAATGGGACATCTCTGATTTTGGTGTGATTGTTTTGATAAAAATGAGCGCAAAATTTCATCTCTTCCGAGGGGGCAGCAAAACCACAAAATTACCTTGAATACGGGGGGTTCTCATTGGATGAAAGG